GGGCCCGCTGTGGGGTGGCGGAGCTGCCTCAGCCCCACAGGTTCCCCAGAACATCCCGGTTGGGCCCAAAACCAGGGTGAGCGGGACGGCGGTAGCGGCTGGGTGCCAGGGGGGCAGCTGCAGGAAGGAGCCTGTTCCTCGCTGCCTGGCAGCATGCCTGGCCCACCGTGGCACCCAGCCCCGCTTCCCGAGCCCCGTGGCCAGGGCTGCCCCTCCTGCACGGCCACCTCCTTTCCGAGCCCCACAGCGGCTGCTGCTGGGAGCCAGAACACCCCAAGACTCCTGGGCGATCCCCAGCTGATCTGCCCCAGGTGAGAGGGTCCTACCCAGTAGGTGTGGGGTGGCAGGGGCTGGATGCGGAGCAGCAGGCAGTCAGACAGGCAGAGGTTGCTGTTGCGGTAGCAGCTGATGTCCTGGCACCCCCACACCAGCTTGTAGACCTCCAGGCACGCCAGCCCAGCCACAGCTGCTGTGGTGGTGATGATGGCGGGCATGATCCGCCCTGCGATCCGCTTGCTCTGAGGACAAGAAGGGTGTCACTGGCAGCCTCGCATGGGACAGGGACCCCTGACCCTGTGGGCTGCACCCCTCACCGTCAGCCAGTCGGCAGGGGGGATGCTGTAGTTCTCTGCGCGCAGGTTGGATGCCGCCGTGATGAAGTCCATGTGGATGTTGTTGTCCTGCAGGGAAAAGCATAGGCACATCAACTTCCTATGGGGACACAGGTGCCCTGTGGGGACAGGCAGCCACCAACCCCCTAAAGCTGAGCAGGGCTGCCTGCCTGGCCCCAGGTACCTTCTCAAAGTGGATGGGCTCCATCAGGGGCACCTGCACCTCCTCACTCCCAACCAGCTCCTGTCGCCGCTGCACCAGGTCCTGGGTGAGGTCTGCCAGCCGCCTGTGGTCTGGGGGCACAGGGACCACTGGGGTGGTACCCAGCACAGTGCCCCCCGTCTCAGTCCAGGTCCTCCTGGGTGCTGGGGCAGGGATGAGCAGCACTGCAGCCCCACTGCCACCAGGCTGGACCTGGGGACATGCCCCAGGGGACTCAGGGGTGTGGGGAGCCTCACCCACAGGTGCCTGTGCCTCCTCCTGCTCATCCGTGAGGGGGATCTGGAGCCCCTCCTGGGGCTCAAAGGGCGGCAGGACCATGCTGTGGAGGATGGTCTGGGCGGCCACCCGGTCACTGCACGGTGGCACCTTGTGTGCTTGGGCAAAGAGGTGGGCGGCAGCCAGGATGTACTCCAGGTGGGTGTCCTGCGGAGGCAGAGTGCCTGGGCAGCTGGGGCGAGCCACAGGCCCACGGGCCAAAGGCTGCCTGCATTGCCCCGAGGTGGAGATGGAGGTGCCTCTCCTCCTACTCCTCCTCCTGCAGCAGAGGGCTGCCCCCAGCAGCACGCTGGCTGTCCGAGGGACAGGGACAGACCCAGCCCAGGACCTGGTAGCCCTGGACAGACAGTGGCAGATGTAACACAACTATGGTCTGGCATCCACTGTACCCCTGGCACAGGCTCAGCTCTGTCCCCCCAGCACTGTCCCTGGCAGGGGGCCCCGCAACTCTCCCCTGCACTCACATTGTTGGGGTTGAACGTCAGCGGATGGGGACAGCTCCTGTTCCCTGTCCAGAAGGGGACACCCGGGCTGGCTTCCTGGCACAGGGAGAGCAGTCAGGCTTGGGGACACTGTTCCCCTGGCTGCGGTGGGGTGGCCAGCAGAGGGGAGAGGGTTTGGGGAGTGCCAGCCCCATGGGTGCCAAGCTCACGTGGTCTGGGGGTAAGGTGTGCAGCAGCTGGGCGATGGCATTGTGGTAGCAGCTCTGCCAGTGCCGGCGGGCCCAGCGCACACAGTCCTGCCAGTCCTGTGGCCACTCCCACAGGCTGCCCCGTACTTGCTCCAGGACCTCCAGGGCCTTCTTGGCTGGCAGCTGCTCCAGAAAAGCCGGGTCTCTGCAGAAAAAAAGGCACTGCTGCTACTGGCCTGGGAGCAATCCTGTGAGACACCCCAGGTAGGATGTGTTGGTCTGATCTTCCTCTCCCCAGCCCTGGCAGCAGAAAGCAGTGCCCCAGCAGGGCTGGCAGCTGCTTTCCCAGTGCCACCCCCTCAAGCCCACTCACTCCATGAATCGGTTGATGTGTTCTGCAGGCAGCTGGAAGAGTCCCTCAAACTCATCGCGGGCCCACTGCAGAGGGGAAGTGGGAGTTAAGCACTGGTACAGCCCCCGCCTTGTGCCCCCTGGGACCCCCAGCCCAAGCCCAGGGGCTGGCAGCAGAGCTCAGGCTGCCAGCAGGAAGCAGCTGGGGCTGTATCCTGCCCGCAGCCTGCTGCCAGGCCATGGCCAGAGGGGGAAATGGGAAAGGAAGACAAAGGTGCCAGGGCTTCCTTGCTGGGTGCTGGGCCAGTGTGGCACAGCCTACCTGCAGCGTGTGCTGGATGGTGGTGGGGAAGTACCGCAGGGTGCAGAGGGGGAAGGTGCCGTCCTCGGGGGTGCCAGCCGGCACCAGTGGCTTAGTCACAGGGGGCACCATGGCCAGCACGTTCCCCCGTGGCCCCTCTGTGCCCGAGTCCAGCAGCGGCGTGAGGCAGCGGTGGCAGCGGCTCTCCAAGTAGGCGCCTGTGGGGAGCCCAGGGTGCTGGTGAGCCAGAGGACATGTTCGAGGGTTTAGCCACTTTCCCCTCCCCAGCACTCACGGGCCTCCAGCGTGTCCAGGGCACTGGCAACGCCATCCAGGCACCGGAAGAAGCTGTCCCCGTAGAGCGGCTCAGTGGCAGGTCCCACCTCGTACTGGTGAGCCGTCACCCTGACATCAGGGTTCATGCGCTGCACAGCTGTCGCAGCCACCACTGACTTTGGCTTCTGTCAGGGCAGAGAGGAGATGGGCATCTCACCCCTGCCCCACAGCCCTGGGGAGCTCCCGGAACAGCCAAGCCTTTTGAGGGAGCTCAGCCCCTGCCTCGCGGTGCCTCACCGATATATCTGCCGAGCGGTAAAGGAACTGCCGATGGAGGTTGGAGAGGGCAACAGTGTCCATGTCGGTGATGGTGAGGTCCCCACCTGGCCCCGCTGCCAGCCCCATCATGGCAAAGTTTTTCAGCAGCTCGCAGCCGATGGCACCGGCTCCCACCTGCCGGGGCAGAGCTGCTGCAGCTCCCTCTGCACTGGCCAACTGCTTCACAGCCTCTCCCACAGCCGCAGCACCCACCCCGGCTCACCACCAAGTACTTCTGGCAGCCCAGCTGCTCCTGGAAAGTGGCCCCGAAGACGGCGATCTGGCCATCGTAGCGAGAGCCCCTCTGCCAGGACAGAGGAGCCGTGTGAGGGCAGGTGGCAACGGTACCCCGGTGCCTAGGAGGGGCTTGGCTCACGCTCTCACTGGGGCACAGTCCTCCTCCGTCAGCCGTGCAGCCCCCTCCACGGCCAGGCACTCCAGGGCGTCGAAGTACAACCACTGGTCCAGGGGCAGGAACTTCCTGGTGATGGCCTGGGGCGAACGGGCCCGTTGGTTCCACAGACAGCGGGGTCCCCCCATACCCCCACCCAGTCCTGCTGCCTGGCCCAGCATCCCCAGACGGACAGCAAGTGCCCTCTCGTGGCCACCAAACGCCGCCGTACAGCCGTGCAGAGCATGACCGCCGGGACCCCCGGGCCGGGACCCCACCCCACTCACCTTCAGCACCTCCTGGGCTGCCAGAGCCCCGACAACGGCAGCCACGGGGCACAGGTCCCCAGCGCTCACACTGGCGAAGGCTCGCACCACGTCCTCATCCAGGGGATCCTGCTGCACCCCCAGGCTCCGCGCCAGTTCCAGCACACGCTCGGTGTCCACCTGTGGGCAGAGGGGTGAGGGCAACCCTGGGCAGGGTGGCGAGAGGCCGGGGACAGCCAGGCAGGGGCAGGACGGGGACCCACCTGTGCCCTGGGCCGGGGCAGGCGGCCCTGCTCCCCACAGAAAGCGTGCAGGGCCTGGAAGGCAGCGTGCAGGCTGCGGCTGCGTGGCAGCTCCTTGGGAGTTGCCACACGGATCTTGGGCTTTGCCAGCGCCCGGCGCAGAGGCTCCTGCCAGCACAGTGCCAGGGCTCAGGTGAGCGTTTCCCCGGGGCTGGGGCATGGCACAGTGTGGTGGTGTCCCAGCTTGGGTGACAGCACCATGGAGCCAAGGGGGGAACTTACATAGGAGTGCACCTGGGGCAGCCGAACCTGCGAAACCAGGCCCCCACGGAGGTAGGGCGAGAAGGAGCTGGTGTCACCAATCTCCAGCCTTGAGGCATCTGGGGATGAGAGGGGGACAGACATCACGGTCACTGCCAAGGACCTGGTGAGTTCCCCAACCCTGGGCCGGGGCAGCTGGGACACCCTGGGGGCTCACCCAGCACGCGCACGGGGACAGGCTCCTGGCTGTTCAGCTCCACCATCCCCTCCACGCCAGAAAACGTCACCAGGTCACCATCGCAGAAGAGGTGGCCGTGGCTGTCCTCTGTCCTAGTGTATGTCACCACACCTGGGTTGCCCTGAGGAGGGAAAGGGACATGAGGGTGAGAGACCGGACCCAGGTGGCATAAAGCCACTGGAGGAGGCAGCGGTGGTTCAGGAGAGTCTGCTGAGGCTGCCCTCCTACCTGGGAGATGTGCTGTACGGCAGCACACACCGGGTCCCCTTCTGCTGGGTCATCAACAACGAAGCGCTCCCCAAAGTCGCAGAACAGCTGCCTGGAGAGGACCGATGGGTGTTTTGCTGGAGGAGCTGCCTCACCAACCTGCCCAAACCCTACCAGGTCCTGCCTGGGCCAAACAGCCCCGCCAGTGGGATGGAGACACGGGCTGAAGAGCAGGGCTGGGGGCTCCGAGGACAAGGTAACCTGGAGCCAGTGGCAGGACCCTGCGACAGAGACACCTTACCCCGCCAGCCCCTTGGCGTCGGCCACAATGAAGCAGATGCCCCGGGCATGGCAGAAGTCCCCAATACGGAGCTGCTCCTCCAGCGGGGCCTCGGTCAGCACCACCACCTGTGCCAGGGCCGTCAGTGGGTGCCACTGTCCCGGGGGTCCTCGAGGCACAGGGGTGTGGGCTTACCTGGAAGGAGGCGAGGAAGGCCTCCGACAGCTCCCCGCTGTGAGCTGTCACCACCACGCCAGGGTTCAGCTCGGCCAGGGCCCGCTGGGATGCCTCGGCACGATTCTGGCCTACATCACCCTCCCCCAGGAGGAACTGTGGGGTGAGCACATGGTGGGGTACCCCGCGGATTTGGAGGTGCTGCTCACCACAGCAGAGACCTTCATAAGGCCCTGTCCTCACTGGTGGGGGGCCTCTGCTGAGGACCATACCTGTGACATGGGACACCCCATGGGCCCTCCCTGTGACGATGAGGGACACCCTGGGCCACAGCCATGACAGGGACCTCCCACTCCACACTCCTTACCACGACCCCCAACCTGTACCCATTACTGGGACACACCCCCCCCCATACCCATACCTATATCAGGGATCCCCCAGCTACACCCACACCCACTACCACGGCCTCCACCCAGTATTGGGACCCCCGCCTGTACCTGTTCCCATCACCAAGACCCCTGTCTGTGCCCATACCCATTATAGGGACCCCCATTCATACCCACACGCATTACCGGGAACCCCATATGTACCTGTACCGGGACCTCTGCCCATACCTGTACCTAGCACCGGGACCCCAGTCTGTACCTGTCACCCACATCCACACCCACTCCCGCCATCCCCACCCGTACCCATTACACAGACCCCCGCCCGTGCCCGTATCCGTGCCTGTGCCCGCAGCTGGGCCCCCCGCCCGGCCC